GAGACGAGAGAGAGAGAGAGAGAGAGAGAGAGAGGGGGGGGAGGATAGACGAGTGGAGAATCTTCGATTCGAGGAAAATAAGTTGGTATTATTATTATTATTATTATTATTATTATTATTATTACTACGCGTGCATATCATGCGTGTATCGTCAATACAGCGCATGCCCACCGAGAAGACCACGATTACGAGCACACGATTGCTCGCTTTCTATTTGTAACCAAGCCGGCCCGGTTTATTATCTTTGTTTGCTTGACCTATGACAATTATGGATTGGAATCAAGATGGATACACATTGTGCACCGAGATAAGGGTAAAACTCGCCTCTCCGAAGAGAGTTGAAAGTCACGTCCCCGTATCCGTAGATGATAACGTGCCGTACGAAACCGTAATCAATTTGCTGGCCTGCCGATTATAATTAATTACACGCCGGTAATGCGACGCCGCGTTACGAATATACGCGTCGCGTGTGTACGCGTATCGCGGGCACGAACGTCCAGGGAGGGGATCGCGGAGAGAGGAGGAGGGGGAGGGGAGGCAGAGAGAGAGAGAGAGAGAGAGAGAAGAGAGAGATTGATTGATCAGAGAAACCCGCTTACCTCGTCCCTGTCCGTTTGGTCTGCCTGTTGCGTAAGCCCCGATACCCTGAGGACTTCGGCAGTCTTCAAAAAACTGCTAAGGGAACGCTGATGCACGTTCACCTCCCCGTGATAGATGAACTCGACCAACGCGTGCAAGTCGCTGAACGCTACGTCCTGAAGTACTATCACCGGGTGTTTACACGGTGTGCTCTGCAAAAGGGGATGAATGGAGGGAAAGAAGAGACATTTCTCCCTATCGCGTTACGATATTTAAACATTTCACTCGTTCCACTCGAATGTATATATATATATGTATATATATCGTCCAAGAGAGGTTGCGTGGAGCGAGGAAGTGTGGGTTGGATGGTGAAAAAAGGAAAGGGAGGATGGGATGGGGTGGGGATGCGTGCCTTACCTTGAGCAATTCTCTAAAATAAGGGCTGCAAGCGGAAAGTACGACGCGGTGCGCTTTGAGGCTTCTGCCATCGCAGGCCAGTGTGACGTCCACAAAATCCTCATCGTCCCTCAAGTTCTCAAACGCCGACGTTATACTGCTTTGGTAATTGTTCCATCGCAGACAAAAGTGTTGCGTATCTACCATCGTTATATCTATTCACCTACAATCAGAAAGAGAACGGTTCGCTACAGTTCAAACAGGTGGAGAAACTTGACACTTATCTTATCGCGGGTGAATCGAAAGGAAGAGAAGAAAAGGAAAAAAGAAAAAAAAAGAAAAGAAAGAGAAAAGGAAAAACTAATCGAGCAATATACTTTTTCTTTTCGACGACGGAGTCGGAGAGAGAGAGAGAGAGAGAGAGAGAGAGACAGAGAGAGACAGAGATGATACCACAAACGCGTTTCTACACCGGCCGTTGTTTCGATGGAATACGAAATTCGAGAGCAGAAATTTTCTAGTTGCACGCGAGATGATAAACCGCGAGATAGATAAATTTTCGATAACCGGTTTCGCTTTCGAAATTCGAAAAGAAAGAAAGAAAGAAAGAAAACATCGTTGCAACACGCGTGCAACCGCGATCGAGGATCGATCCTCGAACACGTAGCGGTGCGATCGAGCGTACGAAACGAGGGTGGGGAGGGGGGAGGGGAGAGAGGAGGAGAGAGGGAAAGGAGGAAAAAGATATTTCGCGCTCATCCATCCGTCCGACAAAAAAAAAAAAAAAAAAAAAAGAAAAAAGAAAAGAAAAGAAAAGAAAAGAAAAAAGAAAGAACGGGCCAAGATTATGTAATTGTTTCTTGGCCGGTTCGGGTTTAAACCGAACCGTGTTTACCGTGGCAATAGGTGTGGCATTAGAACAGATGTTAATTCCCTTAACTCGCTTCTCGTGGACTCACGGGAGAACTTATGTAACTCGCGAATTAATACTCGAGATTCGCTTATTAGGGGCAAGGTGGACCGGCACACAGATATGTGTGCCCGTGCTGTGTGCGATGTCCATTCGAACATGAATATATATATATATATGAATATTCTCTCCGACGAAGAGAAACGTAATAAAAAAAAAAAAATCTATACGCGAAACGGCGAAGATTTCTCGGTGATTCGCGATATTTTTACAGCGGCGGCAGAAAGCGGCAGGGAGGAAAAGCGCGTCGTCTTACGCGTTCGAGAAATTGTGCAAATGTATCGTCGACGCGTCTCATCGTTGTGCGAAGAGGCAAGAAACGGCGCAACGGATAAGAATAAGAGAAATATTAGTCCGCGCTTCTTTAGCGGTGGCGAGAGAAGTGTCGGGGAAAGAATAAGAAAATTGAAGAGTGCATGGAGGGAGGGAGGGGAAAGCAGGAGAAGGAGAGGGGGAGGGGGAGGGGAAGGACGGACGTAAAAATAGAAGCGAAGGATTACGCTATTACTTTTTCCTTTTCCTTTTCCTTTTCTTTTTCCTTTTTCTTTCTTTTTTTTTTTCTTATTCCCCCCCCCCCCCTCCTTTTCTTTCTTTTCATTTTATTTTGCACCATACCAAGAAAATTAGGTCGGCAGGCTGGAGCGAAGCCAGAACATACGATTAAATAATTCTCTCCGCCACTTATAAAAGCGCAAGCATTAAATGTATGCTGATAGTGTTATCTTAGCAAAATGAATAAAAAAAAAAAAAAAAAAAAAAAGAAAAAAAAAAAGAATCTTAAAACAAATTTACTGTGTGCTCGTTGGCCGCGTCGTGCGTGTGTGGTGCACGCCATGACAAAAGCTTTCGATATAAAATGGAATTAATGATCGCCGATTTGTTTTTTCCTCGTATTCTGTAACGCGTTATACACGATAAGAAGGAGCACGGATACCGTATACTATTTTACAACGTTTCCGTTGATAATCGTATCGCTGATTCGAAAGGTATTTTTGCGCTGTCCGGCTCGTCGCTTCGAAGAAATAGTAATTAAAGTACACACGATCGCGCACAAAAGAAACCACGCACACGCCTGCGAAACCGGTGTGAATAATATAAATTAAATATATATATCGCCGATACGATATTTTGGATACGTTCCAACGATTATCTCCAACGTTAAAATAAATCAAGAAAGAAAGAAAGAAAGAAAGAAAGAAAGAAAGAAAGAAAGAGAGAGAGAAGAGAGAAAGAAAGAAAAAAAAAGAAAAAAAATAAAAAAGAAAAGAAAGAAAGAGCAATTCGTTTTTTCCTTCTCTCTCTCTCGCTCTCTCTCTCTCTCTCTCTCTCTCTCTCGCTCTCTCTCGCTCTCCTCAGATACACATTTATCATATGAGCCGCGCGGTGCGATTCGAAAACTGTTTTCAGACTTTTTTAAATTCGCTATCTCGCGTACTGCTAAATTTATATGTGACGAATTCTAGATAAAGTTTCGCCGTGAAAATCCTGAGCAACATTTTGATAATAGGACCGGGCTGGAAGTGACGGCGAGACACTCCACGAGGCACACGAGGACACCGACAAAAGAAACTCACTCGTTCGTTCGTTCGTTCGCGTTGCCGATCGACGAGTTTTAATATTGTCGCTTGTTCAATATTTCCCAATTTCGTCCGTGAATTTTTTCTTACTTTTCACGTTCCCTTCTAACGTGATCGAGGGATCCGCGTTAGGAGGCGCGCGATTGCACATTATTTTTTTTTTTCTCTTTTTGGGAGGAAGAGAGAGAGAGAGAGAGAGAGAGAGAGAGAGAGAATGACACGAGAGACGAT